GAGCCATAAATTACTTTTCAGGATGACATGGTCTGCCTAGCTGTGGGAGCCCCCATCAACCCTGACAGGCCAGATCCTCCCTCAGCACCAGGAAGGAGGCCCCAGGCTTTTGGGTGTGTGAGTGAATGTACATAGAAACTGCCACACCTGCACCCCACATAGCATTATAGGGTGGAGCCATTTGTTGTTCTTGCCATAACTTCTCAACATTTGCAGAAATTCTGAGCCTTGATGGTGTTGTATCATGAGGACATGGCCCAGAAATGCTCAGCAGACATAAAGGACACCTTTCCAACAGCAGTCCCTGTAACTGCCACTCACATCTGGGTATCCTGGACTCCACCCAGGTCACAACCATGAATACAATTGATTTCATAAAAGTCGTGTCTGACCATGTCTAACCTCCAAGCTTGTATTCACAAGCCCACACCACCTACCCATTATACCCTCCTTGTGCTCAAATTGTACAACTTGGTCAGGGAATTTGGGGCACAGGTATTCTGGTTGATAATGAGTAACTCTATAGCTGCTTTCTAAAGATAAAATTTCAAAAACACAGCACTAGATATTGTCATCCTGAACAACATTTAATTTCTGAGCTTCAGAAGATACTTGAGCATCCTAAAAAGCCCTAGGGGTGGGTCTCTGACATTGACTATGGTTCCTTGGTGCTGTGTGGCTGTCCAAGAGCATTGGCTGAGGGGAGGCAGCAGACTGCAGGAATCACAAGCTCCAGGGTTCTGGTCTCAGCTCTGTCACTAAAAGGTGGCGTGGCCTTGGCTGAGTCGCTTCTCTTCCCCAACATGGCTGAGTCGGGGCTCTTCTGAGGTCCCTCCCAGCTGAATTTCCATGAAATTGTGTTGATTTTCCACCATTGAAACTGAGGAAATTTAAAGCTCCCATCCATGGCACAGATGGTCTGAAACAGTTCTTTGGTATCTATGAAGCCTCTGGACTGGGGCTCCCACCCAGTGTCAACCCAGCCCTGGGGTAAGCCAGGTACAGACTGAGACAGGAGAGCAGGAAGAATAGGATATCAGTGTTAGGGACAACAACAGTTTGTTACTGAATTTATCAAGTCCATAGACAAATACTCTCCCTAGAAGAGACAGAGGCACAAGTGTCTAGTCACTTATCCTGCCTCTTCAGATCAGGAAGAGCTGTTCTGTTACCAGTTGACTGAGATGTTTAGTGACAGTGATGTGTCCTATGTTGAGACTGGTGATATCAAGAAGGCAATGGGTGAAGAGATAACAAACCAACTCCTCTTGACCCCAGGCCTTATCTAGAAGGCTGGAACTGAGAAAGGGATCAGTTTCTGGGAAAGCAATATATGAACCAGTCTCTATCCACTGTGGGAACTCTGGGAGGCCCACACTTTACATGACGTTGCATTTGCAAAACGTAACTTTTTTCAAGTTGCTGGCAGTTTCATTGTCTCACTTGGCTTTTCTTCTCAGGCTTGGCCACTCCTCTCTGCTCGGTTCTGGTGAGGTTGAAGTCTACTCACTGCCATAGGAAAATGTCTGGCAAGGGCAAACTCTGAGCAATGAACTCTGTGTTCCATAAATAGCTTCAGTGATATATACATAACACACACGCACACATACACACAGACTTGTGGAAATCACCTTCAGGAGATCTGTCCTGGCTCTCAATGTGAATATCAATGTATGCTTGGACTCAAATCTCTCTCTCCCTTTCACCTCAGAGTGCCTGAGAGAAGCCTACCCTTGCCTGAGCCCTGGGTTGTGAGGTGCTCAAAGCTCCTAAGTGGAGCCCTTGTCTGTCCCGGTGCCATGGGAATGGGTCAGTGTTGGCAGTGGAGATGGCCAGAGTCTACTCCTTCAGCAGTCCCAGCTTCTTCAGGGCCTCCCTTCTATGTTCACCAGGGACACCCTTTGGGGAAATCTTGACACTGACACAAAGGGGTCGAGGAAGCTTGTCACGGCTCTGTCCTTGGTAGGACAGGCGCTTGGAGCTCTGCTCTTGCTCCAGGTCAGCCAACTTGCCCACCTGGATACCTGCAAAGTCTTTCCCCGTGCCCAGGGATGCAGGCCGGGGCCGGGAGTTACGTAGGATGCTGGGTGAGACCTTGTCCAAGAATGAAGCCTTTTCCAGAGAAGTGCTGGTTTTGGGGCTGGTGTCTTTCTCAGCTGAGAGGTAGCTGCTCAGCCCCACACCTGAACGCTCCAGAGTGTTGGACTTGAAGTTCATCTGTCTCAGACCAGGGATGCTGCTTTTCTGGAGAGTCAGCCCTGAGTCTGGCTGGGTCAGGGGACTATTTGCCCTTGGTGCCTTGGGGATGGAAATTGGCATGGATTTGGCAGATGTAACATTCCCATGAGAGGTTTCCTGGGCAGGAATCAAAACTTTGCTTGGAGAAGATCCCTGAGCTAGAGTCGGAGCAGGAGGTTGCTTTGGTGAAGGTCCCCGTGCAGGACCTGGAGGCTTCCCTGCAGCCGGCACCGCTGCTGAGATCTGAGCTGCACCTGCAGGCTGTGCTGGAGCTGGGGCAGGGGCTGGGGAAGGGCGCTGATCACGAGGCTCCTTGAATCTGATGGAACTGCGGGGTTTACTTAAGTGGAGGCCAGGCTCCTCTTGGTCCTGGGGTAGCCCCAGCTTCTCCAGTGCTTCCCTGCGTGCTTTCCTCTGCTCCTGCACTGATGAGGAGACCACACTGGAATCTCCAGAGGCAGCCTCAGTGTGGCGGGACAGCCAGTTCTGGGGATCACTATGGAAACTTCTTCGGCTGCTCTTCAGGACAATATTAGGTGGCAACTTCCGGGGCTTAGGGGCCGTGATAGGACCCAGTCGGGCATTTGGGTCCTCCCCTGATGGGAGGGGAGTATCCTCAGCTCTTGCATTCTGAGACAACATGGCAGGCTGAGGCTGTGGTCGTCTTGCATTCCCCTCTGATTCTTTTTCTTTGGCTTTTTGGGACATGGTCTCTGAAGAAATCTGCTCTCTCTTCTGGGAGCTGACTGGCATGTGGGGCTGGAGTGTGTGACTCTGCTGTCCTGGTCCCTTGGGCAAGCTGTCTTCTCTACACTGCTCTGGCTGGGTGTCCCGGAAAGCCTCTGGAGGAGGGATGAGGACCACGTCCAAATCTGGGGCAGCCCCCTGGGGGCTGGCAGGTGCCTGACTGGGCACACTTCTCTGATTGACTTGCTCTGGCTCTGCTACAAGCTCCTCAGCGTCTCCAGGGATGTGGCTGTTAGCTTGGGTGGTACTTTTCCTGAGGTTCTGGTTTTGGCCAATGTGGATATTTCGTGGGAGGCTGTAGGAGCCAGACCTCAGGCCCAGACCTTGGGGCTCAGGAGGACGGGATGAGTGAGACTGAGTCACTCTCCTTGGCTCTGGTTCTTGATGAGTGGTTGTCCCCTCTGGATTTCCTGCACAAAAAAATAGACAGAGGTGAGAGCCTGATCACAACAAGTGGGTTTGCTTTTGTGTTTGTTACTTTTACAAGGACAGTACTCTATCTGGATATCATTAAGATCAACAGTAGCAGATTCTCTTTGACTGAGGATTTATTTTTCATGGTGGTTGGTGAAAGGGTGGACTCCAATTGCTCCATGTCCTTGATCAGGCTCTCCCTGCCCTTCTACAGAGACAGCAGAGTTGGGGGGTAGACTCAGGACAGTTCCCTCCAGCTGTCTTGGGGCTCGAGGTAACTGAGACCAAGGGAAGCTATGAACAAGCTATTTGCTCTTACTTTGACCAGCCTTCTGCCTTCTCCTGCTTTTACTTTCTATGAGCATCTGGATGATTCTGGAATAGACATGATGTCCTTGTACCAGGGTTTCTTTCCTTTCAGTAAGTCAGGCATGTGCCCCACCAGGCCCACCAGCTGGTGAGTCAGCCCCAAGGGCAGCAAATCCCTATGTCCCCATTTACTGCTCTATCGCCCTGGAGGGTCTAACACATTCTAACTAAATGTTTGCTAAATGAATAAATAAAAGAAATTTGCATCCAGGCAGATGTCAAGGCCCCCTTTTTTGGTCAATCCTGGGTGGAATGCCTAGGGGTACCCAGCAGAAGCAGCCGCAGGTTCTAGTTCAAATTCCTCCGCGTGACCTTTGTCAAGTACTTCACTTGTGGTGTCTCTGAGTAAGCTTCAAATTATATGGATGGCATAATTATTTGACCTAAGACTTGACTGGTATTGCTTTTAACTTTTCAAAGCTGTTTTAACTTGCTCTGACATCAGTGAGATTGTCCTCAGGCGCAAAATGCTTCTCACATCCTGGGATATATTGCTGCATACTCAAGGCCTCACTCGTGTGTCAGCCTGTCTTCTTCCACTAAGCCTGAACTCTACTGGCTCTTCACTCTCTCCAACAAACTCGAGGCACGCTGCCCACTGCACTTGGGAGAGCCCTTCCCTCTCCTTATCTCCCATGGCCTTGTCCTGTATGTCACCTAGATTATAGCCCCAGACTGGCTTGGTCTCTTCAAAGCCAACTACCTTGTCCTTCCTATCTTCCTCCCCCACCTCTGTGGTTATATCTCTTTAGAATTTTCCATAGGAGGATGGGAGCTGGTCAATCTGCTTTCCTTCCCAGGCCTCAGATACTATATGGACAGACAGAGTCAGCAGGCCTGTTTGTGGTCTCTCCTCTTCTCCAGAGATAGGCTTTATTTTAGCCAGGAGAATGGTGAGGAGTGCAGCTGTTCCTTCTGTCTACGATCTTCAAAGCAGAGGGCAAGAGAGGCAGAAAGGGGCCAAAGGATGCACTGATTTTCTGGGGTTTGCCAGAGGTCCTGTCCCAGTAGTCTGTCTTACCCCAGGGAGTAAGCTGGGTTATGGGCAATGTTAGGGATCCTTGGGGTGTTGTAGCCGACTCAGATTCGTCAGTGGACAGTCCGCTGTCAGCCTCAGTGTCCAGTGCCCCAATGGTTTCCTCCAGGAAAAGCAGACACTCTTTCTCTTCAGCAGACAGGAAGTCGTAGCTGCTGTCACTCTGTAGGGGAAGAGAGAGGAGAGGAACAAGGGGAGGGAGGGGGAGCTGTGAGAAGGAGCTCCTTCAGCAGAAACTGGCGGGGCCTGAGAACCTCCCTGCCATGGGGAAGGAATGCTGAAGGGCTGGAAACCTTCCCTGGTGCTACTCTGCAAACCAGCCAATGCTGCTTCCCTATACAACAGGAACTAGGGAGAGCACCACTGCCAGGCAGCTGGCCCACTAGCACCCTGCTCTGCCGTCGGCCAGGCAGATGGCAGGCCCCCTCTTTTGCTCAAATCTAGGTGGAATGCTTAGGGGCACAGAGCAGAATCTGTCCTAGGTTCAGTTCGAATTCTTCTGTGTGACCCTTGCCGAGTAATTTAATTTGTGTGTCTCTGATTATATATTTGTGTAGCTCCAGATTATATGGACAACATAATTATTTGACCCAAGACTTGACTGGTATTGCTTTTAACTTTTCAAAGTACTTCTGCATTCTTGGTCTGGTATGTCAAGGACAGTCTGAGGACAAACAGGAAATACAACTGCAGGCTGCCAGGCCAATGGGAACAGGGGGATGGCTAGCCACAGATAAATACACCAAATAATTTACACTTGACTTTGCGTTGCATTCCGTGCAGGGCTTTTCCCCTTGTATATTTGCTTTCTTGATGACATTTGGCTCTGGCTAACATTCAAATAAGTAAGAATTTATTAAGCAAATATTAGCTTCCTGAGGGAAGGAGAAAGGGTATGGAAACTGACTGGTATGGCGAGAGGAGAAAGTAGCTTAGTATTAAGTAGATATTTAAAAAGATCATTTTCATGATGAGAGAGCAAGCACATAGGGATATTTGGAAGCAAATACTATGGTCATCTCAGGTGGTTACTGTCCATACTCTACCAAGGCAGGAAGGTGGATAGAGTAGTTATTCTTCCAAGGAGCAGGTTGACAGGAAAACCAAAAGGACAAATGTGAATATAAGTAATTCAACCTGAGTATCTTCTTGGCATCTCCATCATTATTCATAATACTTGGGACACTTTACTCCTCAGACTTACTAAGATGGTCAGGAAAGATTTTGAGACAACTCTAAAAGTATCCTGCAATGAGGGGAGAGGGGTATTGAGCAACCTTTCCAGTTGTCTCTGCCCCTTAAAGAGCTACTGGTCAGGTGACTGGCTGGGGTCAGTGGTGGTAAGAAAAGTCCCAAATATAGCACGTGGAAGCCCTAAAGCCAACTCTACTCATAGAAAGATCTTCTTTAGTGTCTTCTGCCTCCTAAAATAGCCTCGCCAAGGATAAGCCAACTCTGAATTTCTCCTGTATGAATGGTTCACTTTGAAAATCTTTAATCCCTGCCACATTCTGCATCCAGTGGTATATGACTATTCATATTGGCTTCAGCCTGACAGAAACAGGAAGATGTCTGTCTATGATCCTATCCTCTAGGGTCAAAAAGAAATTACGTATAGATTGCCTGCGCTTTGGATTTGTGTGTGTGTGTTGCTTTTTCTACTCCGCTTTTACATATCAAAGTCCATTGAGTATATTAAACATCCTTTACATGCAGCAGAAACTCTTATAAGCCTTAAGTTTTCAAAAACCTCTATAGGAGACAAAGCATGAAAGTGTAAATCCTCTAGCGTATTTATGCATGTGACAAGCATGAACAACAAAGGAAGGCGTCTACGTGGACACAGGGCAGATTTACTCTTTCACAATAGCCTTACAACAACCGAGATTTAAATTCACGCTCAGCAAGCCTGAGCAAGAGGGAGATCCCATCTCTACTAAAAATAGCAAAAATTAGCTAAGCATTGTCCCAGCTCAGGAGGCTGAGGTAGGAAGAGCTTGAGCCCGGGAGTTTGTGGTTGCTGTGAGCTAGACTGTGCCATAGCACTGTACCCAACAGACTGAGTACAAAAAAAACAAAACAAAACCAAGAAACGATGCCTAGAAAAATTACAATTTATACCTAGTATCTTTGGAAGGGACTCAGTTTCTGCTCCTAGATAGACTATTTCTTTTCTACACAGAGGCATATGCTGAGTGCCTTACCTCTGTCTCATATTATCCCCCTCCAAAAGCCAAAGAATTCTGTGTAAATTTTATCTCTGTTTGAAAACTGAAAAGAGTAATAAGTTTAAAGAAATTAAATAATTTTCCCAAGGTCATATAGCTTATAAGTAGAGAACTCAGATCTGTTTGGCTTCAGAACACAGGCTCTTAATTACTCTATTTTCTTTGATCTTTGTAAGAGACTGATGTAGTGCTGCTCATGGCAGAGAACTTCAAGAATCCACATGCTACAAGACCCTAAGTTCTGATTTCCACCATGAGGCTGGATAACTGGCCTGCTCTCTCTCCTCAATTCAACCCTCCAACCTAATGAAAATTGGAGGTGGGGGAGGAATGTCTCATTTGTCCTATTGCTCTCTAGGGTGTCCCACCCTGTTTTCAATAGCACCTGGGCTGACTCAGAGGCAGAAAGCACCCATTGATATTGTGATTCACTCTCTGACGAGGAAGATGAAAGAGAAGGTGCAGCCAGTGGGACAGGCGGGAGGGCAGGGCAGGGCAGGGGTGCGGAAAGCAGGCCAGATTGCAGAAGGGAGGGTACGTACAGATCCAGAGTGGGTGGAGGTGGTGCTCATCATGCTGTCACAGCTGCCGACGCGGGTCACAGGTTCTGAGCCAGGCCCTGCTGGCCACAGCTCCGTCTCAGGCATTGCCCGAAACAAGGTGCAGGTTTGGCAAAGGGAGCTCCCAGAGGGGAAGCGAAGGGAAGCGAATAATGTCCCAAGCCGGGCCTGAAAAGAGAAGAATCAAAGCCATGTATGAGCCCAGGCTTCTGCAAGGCTCTGCCCAAGCCCTAAAGCAGCATGGCGGCAAGGACACCAAGCAAGCAGAGAGCTCCCGACACCCCCGGCCTGCCCGGAAGGACACATGAGCTGGCTCAAATACATGTAGAAGAACGGATTTAGGTGGTAGAAAAGCGTCTAATCAGAAAGGAGGTTCTATCATTTCTCTTAATTTTTCTCGGAACTAGAGAGCTTAACCTACATTTACAATAAACAATAAACAAATACAGGAGCCAATGACTTGGGTTCTGGAGGTAGCTGAGTCTGGGTTCAAATCCCCGTCCAATCATTTACAGTTATATGACTTGAAGCAAATCACTCTTTGAGTCTGTTTTTCTTCATTAAATTGAGTTAATGTTAGGATTAAATGACAGCACAGTTTAGGTGGTAGTAAAAATAGCCTTAAAAAATGTATTGTATTTGAGATCTGGGGACTTGGGGTTTGGATGCCAGGGCAGATGTTCCTTTCCTTATTTCCTGTGCCAAAGTCAGGTTTGGGCTGGGTAGGGTGAGTCAGTCTTTCAACTCTACAGAGCTGGCAAGTGTAGGGCCTCATGGAAGTCTGCTTGGGAGGAGTCCCTCAAGTGGGGCAGGTAAGAGGAGCAGAGCACTTGGGGAAGAAAAGGGAAGGTCCTTAATGAGCCAGACATATGTGGTTCACAAGGGTCCAGAACCTCTCTGGAGATGATGGGATCAGAAGGACAGAGACATCAAAGAAGCCCAATGATAAATCAACACCGGGTGAGATAGCTCTTAAGAGATTTTTCATGAGAGCTCCCTAATACCTAGAACCCCAAAGAAACAGGAGCGTGAGAAATCACTTGGATGAAGTTCAGTCATCTCGGCTGTCTACTCCATTAATGACTGCCCAGCTACAGATAGTACATGTTCTAGCCCATTCCTAATGTTCTTTGGGGCTGACACCTTTATAGCAAAGAAGATCCATTTCTCATAAACTGAGGCACACAGAAAGTACCAAAAAATGCTGGATGAATGGACTTGTCATATGTTGCAGTGTCTATTGAGTTGGGCTGTTTTTTTTATTTTTATTTTTTAGAGACAGAGTCTCACTGTGTTACCCTGGGTGGAGTACCATGGCATCATAGCTCACAGCAACTTCAAACTCTTGGGCTTGAGCAATGCTCTTTCTCAGCCTCCTGCATAGCTGGGACCACTGGCATGCACCACTATGCCTGGCTAGTTTTTTTCTATTTTTAGTAGAGACAGGGTCTTGGTTTTGCTCAGGCTGGTCTGTCTTGAACTGAGCTCAAGCAATCCACCCACCTCAGCCTCCCAGAGTGCTAGGTTTTTGTGAGTGAGCCACCTTGCTCGGTCTGGGTTGGGCTTTTGGAAGGCTTTTTCTTGGTTTCTAATCTATCACTATAAGCTTTTTCCTAGATACTTTATTTCTCAGAGAATATATGGCTTGGTAGAATTTGGCGAATGTTCTTAGTTAAACTAAGATGAGCACCTAATAAGCACCGGGGGTACAACACTGTACAAGACAAAGGGATATTGTTGTCAACAAGTCAGTGAAGATCTGAGGGTCTAATTTTTGGTTCCAGTTTTCTTATCTATAAACTTGGGGCAATAAATACTTAAAGTGACTCACTATAATTAACATAATATTTTCTACGAATGGGCGAGCAGATGCTGCCTCTTACTTTCAGAGTAAATTACTATCCTTGTTCTTCCAACTCTGCCTCAGACTTTATGATGGTTAACTAGCTCTCCTTCCCCCCAGGGAAGCCTAGCACACTCTCAGACAGAACCTAGGATGTCCTGAAGCAGCTGGAAGAGATAAAGGCAATAGGCCTAGTGCTGTTCCCAAGAGCACATGAAGCCAGAGCTTACAGGCTGCATTCAGATATGCTAATTAGACCTGCAGAATAACGTGGTGATGACATAGGCAGGATGGGACATTTTCTTCATTTTACAGATGAGAAAGCTGGGGCTCTTCCCATAACTCCTCCCTAACAGAAGTAGGAAATGACCTAGACCTGCATATACAGGGCAGCTCTCCAGAGGGCATCGTAGGGTCCAGAAGCAACAGGGGCGTGCACCCAAGAAGGCTCACTGGCCACCCCTGACTAAATATTAAAAGCTGTAAGATCACTCGTCTCCTATTACTTCATACCTTACTCTGTAAATTATCTGGATCAGCTTTCTACTCCCAGACCAGTTTATTGCCTCAACACCAGGTATTTCTAGAGTAAAGAAATGGTACCAACTGCCACGGGAAGAGCACGTCGGCAGGCACCACATAATCACCGCAGAGAGCAATCAACCTGAAACCAAAGCTGAGTGAGCTCACGAGGGCTGGCACCTCTTCTCTGTACCTGGTTTTCTGACTCAAAGAGTTGGAATGGTAGAAAAACCAAACCAAACCCAAACCATTCATTTCCTTTCACCAACTTTACAACCTTGAAACTTGGGGGCTATTTCAGGGCAGCCATCGAAACCTACAATATTGATATTTTATTTCTGCCTGATAAGAAGCCTGAGAAACAAGCGAAACACTCAAGGTGAGAGTTTGATATCTTTTAACCCTTGACCTCTTTGGGGGACTTAAGAGAAGAAGGGGATGGGTTAAGAAATATGCACAGCCTATAGTCAAGGCCGCCCATCCCACGACACATTAAATATTAACTACATCACGGAAAGCAGCCAAACTTTGGAAAAGAGGAAATAAATAGCACATGAGGTTCTGGCATCGGAAGAGGGTGGGGTGGAGAGAGGGCTCCAGGCCACTCCAGGATGTCTTCTTCGCACCTTCCAAACAGACCCTTCTTATCATTCTCTTACCAGCAGCTCACCCATATCCTCCAGGAGTTCTGCCTCTCTGCCCACTAGTCAAATAGGTTTCCTGTTTCTCTCAAACCAGGTGTCTCCGCTTTTCCCTGACTACCCAGAAATTCATCTTAGGTTGAAGAACATTCTAAGAAAAATGCCCAGATGACTACAGTTTGCACTGTGTGCGTATCCATCTCTATGAGCACGTGGGCAGGCTTCTGTGTCTTTAGGCAATGGTATAATCTTCCATCTCGCCAGGGGGTTTGAGGAAAGGGGTGGGTAGAAATACCCTCTTCACAGAAGAGCTTTGTTAGACATTGCAGTGGGGCGCTATCACTCACCTCACCATCTAGGGCACCTCTCGGTTGGAGAGTGTGGTAGGCTAGTTCTGTGGTGCAGGGTGAGCACACACCTAAAGCTCCAATTGCCAGGACTGGAAAACCTATCTATGCACTCAGGGCTATGTGTGAAGACTGCCGCTGAGGTCTGCCCATTTCCCTCTTCTCCGCAACAGGAGCAAAACAGCCAACTTAGTGACCAGAGTGTTAACCCTCTGAGATGGCCGATGGAGGGTGGTTAGCTGCTCTGCTGTGCGACTCCTCCATCCACCTTGCTCGTGCAGGTCAACTTGCCACACACGCTGTCAACTCGGAATTAGAACACCTGAAGGAAAACTATCCTGGTGTGGTTCTGTTCTCTGTAGACTCTGCCACACTTTCTGCTGGGGATTCTCACCCGACCTGATATGCTGCCATGAAATATTAATGTGGGTGAGGCCTGGCACAGCCGAGCAGCTTTCTGTGTGCCAGTCTCTGTATCTGTTAAGGGGCAACTCGACATTGCAGTTAGATTCCAAAGATAGCTGGTAGTTGGAGTTTAGAGTTTTTCCAACATGCCCAACCTCACACCCCTTTACCAACAACCTAGTACAGCTCACACCTTACACACCTATCCACAGAAAGCTCCATTATCACACTACCATGATGGAACATACACACACTGCACCCTTTATTTAAACAAAGATCTACACAGAGTTGATAAAACCTCGGAAGAATTTCCTGTTACAAATGCACTGGAAAAAAACCAAGACATTCTGCTCACCTGGGTAATCCCCCCGTTTTGACCCCTTCTATTCCAACTATTCTCTTCCAAAGTCACAATGCAGTTTCAGAGATTGAAATTTCCGAGGCAAAGCTATTTTCATTTCTTGTTGTTTGCACAATATGTTTATCTAACTAAATAGGTAAATGGAAAAGATGTGTCCCAGCCCTGGTCTCTCTAAAAATACTATAATCTCAAGAAGCTTCCTGCCCGCTCTGATCCCAGAATAGACTCAAAGAATTGAGAACCGAGAGCAAAGCCCCTTACCTAGGGTGCAGAGGAAGCCCCCTTTCTTTCCCAAACTCTGCAGCTGATACTTCCCGTGAAGCCCCTTTCCTTGCTGCCGGATAAGCAGTAGTTGGTTAGTGATTAACTCACCTCCAACGGGTTGAGGGGCTGAAGAGAGGAAAGAAATACCCTTTTATTTCAAAGGGCAGAGAGAGGCGGAGACTGCTTCCCCTGCCGCCTCCTGTTTTCTCCTCCTTTTGACCTCCTCCTGACTTACCTAGGCAGGTAAATGCTTCATCTGTGCTGCCTCACCCCCACCCCGCCACTGACTCAGCCAATCCACTGCCTGCTTCTCCTTCCAGCTGTTTTGTCCAGGAGGGTGTGTGGAGAATGAGATGGGCGGTGCTGTCTCACTCAGCCAATCACCTCTTTCCCTCCCTTTTAATTAGCATAAGAGCTAATTAAGGAACCCTTTTTAAAAACAAGAGGGCTGGAAGGAGGAGGAGCTGGTTTGGCCTGAGACTGCAAGAAAGGAGAGGTGGCAGGAAGGGAAGTAAGCTGCAGATACTTTTAAAAAAAATCTTGACGTAACGTAAAGGAATACAGTCTAATGGACAGTGTGCTTTTCTATCGGTCTACTTGCAACTTGGTTTCCCATGTAGAACTGCTTTCTTCCATTTGGAGCTAAGTATTCCCCTGAATTCTCCAAGCTAAAATCCTCCGTGGCCAGGACACATCTTCCACTA